TGGGGTTAGACCCTCCTTGCTGGTCCCCAGTGCTCTGCCATACTCTGTATCTGGAGCAAAAAGGTTGCAAAGGACTCAGGCACAAGGACATCACACAGTTCCCAGGCCCATTTTGTTTACACTTGATTCAATCAAGTTGTGGCCTTTTGGCCTCTTTCCAAATTAACTTCTGGGTGACCTCTGCCATGCCCTCTCCCAGCAGCCAGGCCGCCGGGAAACAGACCATTAAACCTACAAACAAATATGGGACATATTGGTTGATCAAACCAGCTTCAAACACAGCTCTGGAAATGCCAGGGTGTGCTTTTTTGCTAACTTCAAGTCTATTTTGTCTTCGGTCAGTCGCACCTCTGGGCCTCTTGGCTGTTTTTTTTTTCCTTCCAGTTATAGCTCTGTGTTTTACTGCCTCATAAAGCTTCTAAATTTTGTTCTCATCCTCCTGTAAAGCCCACAAATAGCAATGCAAGGATCTTGCACATGGGGCTCACCACAGGACCTGGGTCTTTATACCAAGCACGTGAAGAAAGGCGGCGAGACCCTGCTTGGGGGAACAGCTGTAATACTCCAAGAAATTGTGTCTTCCCCTTATTTCCAAGGAAATAAATCAAAAGGAGTTTCTCAGGGTCTGTGAAAGCATATTGCCTGAATTCCCATCCCCAAAGGGTTTATTTTTTCAAGAGCTTATATGGTAGTTAGATTTCTGGCTAGAGAATATGCAATATGATAAAAACACAGTCCCTATATGGGGCAATAAATTACAGATTGTTTGATGTGGAAACCAAAGAACTGTCAAACTCCAGTATATCTGAAATATTCTAAATGAGCCCTTAACTTGAGTGTCTGGAAATGTACAATATGTTTCCAGGCCCTTCAGTCTTGTAAAGACACATCTTCCCCAGTTAAATTTCCTTTTACGGATTTTATTATTAATTTTTGGTGTGGTTTTCCCCTCTTTTTCTTAAAAAACTGTGCTCTTCCTCCTCGAGACAGTACTAGGATAAACACCAGGATTTACCTAAGCATAAAAAGGGATCGGAGCTGGACACAAGCTTAAAGAGCTAACTGCATTAAGGATGGGGTAAAACATCTGCTGCCACAGTGTCAGAGCCCTGTAGACACCACAGGGGGCACAAAAGTCAGCAAGGGACAGACAGGGACACGAGGGAGGACCAAGAATGATTCGGTACCACAGATCCCTGTTGCATCTTCCCACCAGCATCACTCAGGTCTGCTCTCCACAGCCCTTCATGGAAGAGGATGATCAATAAGAGGTCACCAATGTGGCAGAGCTCCTGGGGCATGGGACACCAGAGCTCCAACCTCCATGTATATCTGTTAAAACCTGAAGTTCATCCCCATCTGCCAGCCATGCAGATGTCCCCGTGGTGGGGTGAAAACTGAGTGACCAGAGGAAATAGCTCACCTCACACACAGCTTTCTGCCTAGGGATGCTACCAAGTCACAGAAAACTGAGCAAGGCCTTGCACTGACACTGAATAACCTTTCAGTTTCAATATAGTTTCACTTGGGGGATGAGTGAAAACCCTTCTAGCAAGAAACAGACCCCATCCACTCTGGGAAATAAAAGTTAGGAACCAATTCCAACTCATTTTCCTGAAGGTGACCCTTAGCCTTCCAGCTGAGATAACAATGCTAATATTTATGGATGGGCTGTTCATGCCTCTGGGCACACAGCAAAAATAACTCAAATCAAAACTTGGTAGACATCTAACAGAACTGGGGAAAAAAAATTCTTACTTCCAATATGGCAATAATAAACCATCTCGCTCACCAATGCATGAAAAATAGCATCAGCCACAATCACACATTTGGGTGAAACAAAAGTGGTCTGGACTCTGATGTGATGAGTAGGCAGCACCGAGGAGGACTCATCCAGAAAGGGCTGACTTGAGACAGCACACTACTCAGGCACTGTGCTTAATTCATTTCTTTATTTTACCTTGATAGGAGGTGCTCAAACTAAACAAACACAATCTGTGAAACTTTCACTTCTCCTTCTCTCTGGGTTAGGTTTTCTATATTCCTTTCAGTCCCCAGGGATTTAATTCTAATGCACAAAGCCCATTCTCATTTCAAATTGCAAACATTTGATGAGAATTTCTCATCTGTATGTGCACATTTACTCAGATTCAGTTTGAGAAGATATGAACTAAAGAGTGAGCGCTATTTCTACACACAACACATTCTCCAAACTCGAGCAAGCTCGAAAATGGAGTGAACTGCTCAAAGAGCAGACATTGTCAGCAGCGTGAGCAGCCTGGAATAAAGCGAAGCCAAGTCATCAGCAAATCACAGACATTTAGCAAAAACCTACACGTAAAAGCTGCAGAACTCTAAGAAAATTGAACCAACTAGCATGGTTCCTGAGTCTGCCCACACCCACAAAATCCAGGCTGCATCTTGAACAACACACTGGGAGGAAGCCACAACATTGTACCAGATTCACAATTTATGGGTAGTCACACGGGGAATCAAGTTTACAGCTCTGAGTGCTACAAAGATTCTCTTTTCTCCAAAAGATCCTGGATGTTCAAAAATCCTTAAAAGCCACTGTTGGCTTGAGCTTGGTGGATAAGGAGATTTTCACCCCTCCCTAGCTCAGGAGTCCCCACTGCTTCCCAAATCTGAAGCCAACACCTGAAAAATACAACTGTAATTCATCCAGAGCTTCAGCTCCTACCGCATTTCCTAGTCTTTGGCATTTGAGATGGAACCCAGATGTGAGAGAGAGCTCAAACTTCCTTAGGCCAAGAAAATAAGTGTGATAGTGAGCTCTGACACCCTAAATCCCAAATTTAAGCAACCTCCACAATTACTTTCACTGTATATAAGCTACTTACCATAGACTACAGACCCTCCACAGGAATAAAATCATATCACAGAATCACAGAATGGTTTGGGTTGAAGGGACCTTACAGATCATCTAGTTCCAACCACCTGCCACGGGCAGGGACACCCTCCTTAGACCAAGTTGCTCAAACCCCTTTCCCATCTGGCCTTGAACACTTCCAGGGATGGGGCAGCCACAGCTTCTCTGAGCAGGCATCATAACTAATTTTCACAAATCACTTCCCATTTTTTCCTGATTTTATTCTTGATTCCTTTTCTTTCTCAAACATAACCTTACTAGAGGGTTCAGTATTTTTCAGACTCTTACATTTGTGCTATTTAAACCAAAACAGTTTACCTACCCCTCATAACATGTTCCAACCTCATACTGTAAGCCAAGGAGGGGAAGCACTGTAAGAGATCACAACTAAGCTAACCATATTCATCCCCTTACCACTATTTTAATCTGAGCAGCAGCTGACAGAGACACTATACTGCTGCAAACAGCTGAGTTCAGCCCAGCAATGTTTACCCAGGGTCTCCCACTCCACAGATCTCTGCTCCTCAGCAGCCTGAACTGTTCAGCAAAGACCTAACTTGACCCAGTCTGGCAGCCAGCATTTCACAACCACTTTATGTCAGCAGTTTCAAGTACACTAATAACCATGTTTTGTTCGCTGCGACTTTCTCACTGTGAACGGCAAAATATCATTATCACCTGCAGGTTGAAGCCTGCCCTCTACCCCATTTAATAGGGAGCTGATTATGCCATTCTCCCTCCTTTTCCCGTTTAATAATTATGGGCTGTTGGCAGATGGCACCGCTCGGCACGGGGAGGCATGCGGGAAGGCAGAGCAGGCTGTGCGGCCGCTGCCCACGAGGCTCCCGCGTGGTGGGATGCTCCCCAGGACCCTGAATCCCTCTCTGCATGCATCCTGCTCCCAGACAGCACCTAATGAGCCATGCCTGCCTCGGAGGGCGCGGGGGTTAAACCGGGAACGGCTATGCAAACAGTCCCTGGCAGTCGCAGGAGCAGGAAAGCAGAGGTTAGCAGAAAAGTTGCTAAGCCAGCAACTCCAAACAGAGCTGCCCTCGCGGCCCACCCGGCCAGGAAGCAAAGCTGGGCTTAACCCCAGGAACCTGTTGCAGCCCAAAGTCTCATGTTGGAGCCACCCTAAACAAGGTCCACTCTGGTAAGAGCTCTCCCAGGAGAGACTGGGCAGCTCAGACTCATTAACAGTGTTAGCACTCGAGTATTTGCCCTGTGAGGTCCCAGTGCTGTGTCTTGGCAAAGTAGCAAGTCCAAGCCATCCACCTACTGAAAAACATCCCCTCTACGAGTTACCCAGTGACACAGAGGCGAGAGCAGAGTCCAGAGTCAGACCCCAGCTCACTGGCCCAAGGCAATGCTGTGGAATTGCTCTGGGAGGTTAACAGCCACAAGTTGATTGCTGTGCAGAGGTGCCACCTAATTCCCTGGCAGCAGTGGAGCTTGTTCACAGACCTAACCTGGCGTGGCATGATGGGTAAAGACAAGACACTGCTTGTCCCAGGAAGGATGCCAGGTCTGAGGCAGTGGGAAGGAAGCTTCCTCGTCGACAGAAAGGATTTCACCCAGCTCTGCCATTTCCCCATTCAACACTGAATTGCCCCAGTAGTGACAGGGAGATAGAGCAAAGAAACAGGGGACCCTTACTACCAGCCATGAGCAAAGCCAAGGAGGACTCCTTTGACCAGAGAGGACATGAGGCACATGCCACATAAACCTCTGCCAGCACCTCAAGGTCAGGGGCACCATAGCGGCTCCATCTTCTCTGGTCCTTCACTGCACAGGGGACAGATGCCCAGCAGGAACACATTGCATGTATGTATCCACACGTCACCCAGGCACAGGCTGAGTCCTGGAAGGCTGTAGTGCACATGCTCCATGGCTCCCAGTGACCCACAGAGAACCACACCAGCATGCATCCAACAGGTCCTGTGAGCTTGGTACCATGTGGGACTGAAGTGGCACTGGCTCTGCACAGATCTGCCAAAGATGGAGACACCCTGGGTTGTCTGTCTGAGCACGAAGAAAGTGTGGGGGAGGCCAAACTGATTTGGAAACCACCCACTCCAGAGCTGTCCCTGATGGCACGTCTGCAACAAACCTGGTTGATGTGTTTCAGCTTGTCGATTATCTGGCTGATGACTGGCTCAGGACCTTTCATCTTCACCTCATGGTTGCCAGACTGAGCTTTTGCTCCATTCCTTGTGATTTGGGGACTGTACCTGTAGGAGTGAGAACAGAGGAGATCACAATGTGATGGACTCAATTAGAGATCTTTAAAGTTCAATACAAACAAAAGAAATCCCAAGATAAGCACCAGCCCCTTCCAAAACACAGTGTAAGACAGTTAATAATGACAAAGGAAAGGCAGAAGATTCCCATAAACATTTTTGCTCTGCCTTTGCAAAGCAGCAACATTATGTAGTTGTATCACTTGAGGACAATGAAGTTCTTTCCAGTCCATTAGTAACCAAGGAAGACGTTAAACAGTATACAACAGGGATAAATATTTTCACATAACTTGCACCCAAGAGTCCTTAAAGAGCTGGCTCAGAAATTCTGGCTTGCTCATGTTTGTTTAAAATAAATCTTGGCAGACCACAGAGGCTCCAGTACAAGAGCAGTTGTGCCCACAGCCAAAAAAAATGAGTGGGATGACCCAGTTAACTGCAAGCTGATTAGCATAACATCAACCCCCTTGCAAAATAATGACTATCACTGATGTGTGATTTCAATAATAAAGAATTAAAGCATCAGAATATAATTAATGCTGTCAACATTGCTAATGGAAAATAGGTGTTGTCAAACAATCCTGATTTCAGTCTTTGATGAGATCCAGCCTTGGCGATCAAAGTAACTGCTCAGACAGAACGTACCTTGACTTTGGTACGGTGCTGGGCTCTGCACCATGGGGTATCTCAATTTACACGGGTACCATGCAAGTCAGCAAAGCCCCCGTAAAGCAGATTAAGCTGCCAGGGCAGCTCTGCAGAGGGGGCTGGCCAAGCCTGTGCTTAGGTTTATCAGCAGCAATTAGGAAATACATATATATTCACTTACTGCAAAGTTTATGGCATGGCAAAGTTTGTCAGAGCGATAAAAGTGATGGGAGGAGGAACAGAGAGATTGCGGCAGACTTGCCTTTGGAGGAATGCATTCCTACACTCAGGAGCTCGGTAACAGCTCCTGATGCTCTGGCTGTGAAACAAGCACGTCCTCACCAACCTCAAACTCAGCTCCAGGACCAGCGCCAGCGGTGCCAACACTGCCGGCTGGCAGCCACAGCAGTGGCACGGAGCACACCACACCTGCATGAGCTGTGGGTTGTTACTATTCATCACAGCCCCAGTGATGGGCTGTAGGACTCTACAAGCACCAAACAAGTCCCCGTCTCCAAGAACTGGCAGCCAGAACAGGCCGTGCCAAACCCCGGCACAGCCTACGGGAGTGAAATCACTGAGATAACACCAGCACCAGTCTGCTTTACTGTACATCTGTTTCTCCAGGGCCCTGGGTAAACATGATGAATATTCCTTTCTGCATTCATCTCCACCTTGTGTCTTTACTCAGCTCCCAGAGCCAGCCCTAGTGGCTGCCTCCCTGTCAGCTCCCTGCTCCCCTGCCCGGCTAATCCTTCAGCCCTGCGCTGCTAGGCAAGCTCCAGCAATGGCAGTCAGCTCATTTCATATGGTTTTTGGGGAGAAAGTGGGACTTTAGAAGGCATTGAAAAGTAGGGGAGAGAGACAGGAGGGATGGTGGGGCCAGCTCAAGGATGATGCTTTGCTAGAGGAGAAAGCAGGAGGCATGGGGACATTTGGCCACAAGAGCTGTCAGGGCACACAGAGGGTTTTGAGGATACACAAGGGCTTGGCTTAAACTCTAAATTAGGAACAAGATTGACTCAGACATGTGGGGATGCAAAGGCAACCCCAGATCTATAGTGGTGTAGCAGGAATCTGTCCCTGACTGAAATATTCACATTATTTAAAACAAAGAACTGAGCCTGATTTCTACTCCAAGGCTATTTCAGAGCAGGAGTTCAAAGTACAGGAGCCCTCTGCATTCCCAGCCGGTTCCCCAATGCTGGGCATGCCCCATACACAGCTCTGCTGATGGCTGACAGCCCTGTGAGATGCTGCGCTGAAAGAGATGACAGATGAAAAAGGACAGGAGAGAGATATTGTTGTGCCTACAATGTAGGAGCACACGCCTCTGTATATTGCTGTTCCTAGGCATAAACAGTTTATCTAGGTACAAGTGTCACTGCAAAGCAGAGCTATCAGCCTAGGTCTTCCAACCACCACCAGCTCAACATGGGGGCAGCTGCCTGCATAGTCAGCCCATCACCGTGCACTTCAGCACCAGCACAGCACCATACCAGGAACTCTGAGGTACACCCAGACACCTTTCCCCATGCTGGGACCTCCCATTAGGACTCAATATTTTGCAAAACAGTTATTTTTTGATCATTGCATTATTCTTGGAAGCACAAAACACAGCTACACCTGAGACACAAAAGCTCCCAGTTCAGAAAAGCCCTCGCACATGCAATTAGAGCCCGAAAGCTCAGTGACTGGGAGAAGTGGGGCTGGAGCAGGCCAGGCTGGGTGCCAGTCTGCAGCAGCCTGTGCCCAGGAGCAGGACTGTGCTCCTGGTACAGCCAGGCCACATGCTCTGAGCACCATCTCGTGGGAGGAGGCTGCTGCCGCAAGCACAGACCTGCCCAGCCCTGCTAATACTTGGCCTGAACTTTTTGTAGGG